TTAATTTTTACGCCAAGGTACGTCAAGAGGCATTTTATGTGAGAACTACGTAAAAATAGGTTAGTAAAAACAAAAAAGTAAAATTTACGAATTATTTTGCATTGCGCTTTAAAAAAAGAGGACCAGAAAAATAATGTCCCCAGTTAACTGCAGCGTTTTAAATTAAAGGGTGCGCAGTAAAACGCAATAATTTTTTCGAATTTTCTGAAACTTTCTTGAACTTTCTTAAAGCGAAAACGTTTAAGTTTATAGTTAGAACAGCCATTAGTGTGCGATGCGAGCTTTAATGACCGACTACGAGAATGTACAGGCTATTCGCATCGTTTCTCCAAATGAACAAATAAATTAAGAACAGAGTAATGTAACGAATGGCAAAAGACAAGCATTGTTCTTGCATATAAGTGCTACAAACCCAGATTGTTTAAATTTTAGAAATGCGAAAATTAGAATCTGAAAATGATGAGCGACGATTCCAGCCGTATAACAAATACGTATATTTAAAATTAAATTTTATCTTCATATTTATGCTCGTGATCTCACGAAACTGACTCGAAAATATTTGAATTCACCTTTAAAACTTTGAAAGATGTATAAACAATTTTACATGAAAAATGCAACATTTAATAAAATATAAAGTATCAATAAAATACTTGTATAACTGTCTAACTTTCTATGTATAGTGGCTATTCTTGACATTGCAGATAAGCATCAAGCACCAAAAATTCTCATCAATCTCTAATAATTCGGTACAATGCCAAGCAATATTGTACGATCTGAAATATTTTCCGGTATCACTCGTCTTCCATTCAATCATTTATCAATTGAACAGCCGTAACAAACAGGATATTTATTTCGTTCATACTGAGATTCTGTATTTCAGATTTGAAGTATTGGATGGAATAAGATATCCGTTCTGTGATAGTGTTTATGACACACGGATAATTTATTATAGCCTGGGGAAACGCCACCGTAATTTTTTTGTATTTGAAATTTCTTGGATTAGAAAAAACAAAGTTATCTCGAATTAGAGCATTTTGCTTGAAATAAGTGACGTCCTTGTACTTTTAAATGCTTTTTAATGCAACATTCAACATGGACTACTTTTATTGGATTGGTAATGTTTGCATGAATAAAACTGAAACTTTACTATCTTGATGCGTATATTGATAATAGTTTTCACATACATGTAACCAAATTATAATTCCGTCAAAACTTTAACACTTTTCTGAAGACAAGAAACTCTTTTTGTTGCTCGAGTCGCTGCCCCGATATGCCGAAGTAAACGTTTTCGCACATTTAACTTTAAACTCGATAAGTGAAAATTGGGTCAGCTCGGTTTCGATAAATCCCACATCTATGAACGGACAGATTCTCAACGAAGTATCAGAAAAACCACATAGATTAAATTTGGGAAGTAGCAAAGTAAGCAGTCTAGGAAAAGTTTCCAACTCGTAGATGGTTTACAGCTTGAACATGCTTCTCAGCGACTGCAATTTTACAGGATAATGTTCCAGTGGAAATTCATGTTAAGAAGCACTTTGAATTTCTGCAATATTTTTGGATGAACACGTAAACGCCTTCATAAAATATGGCCCAGAATATTTTTACATCATTTTGATTAATATTTGCATGTTGTTCAACAACCTCTCCTTCTCTCGTGTCACTATATTGTTTGAATCTGCGGTGGATAGCGAGCCGAATTTAATGCTTAGTTTCAAAACAACAGTAGAAGAAAATTGGCACTACTTCAGATTATTGTGCCTGACAATTTATTAGTAAGTGTTCAGACAAAGTATGAAATAATTTAAGCGCTTTCTGTAGATTTTCCTCCATTTCAAATCTTTGAAGAAACTCCACATCAAGTTCTCGTTTGAGGATGAGCTATCTTCGTTAAACCTCTGTCTTTTTTTCACGTTTCATAAAGCACTTTTTGAGGCTCATATTAACTGTATCTATGAAATGAAAAAACTGTAATTTATTCGTGTTTTATTACGTTTTCATTTTTATTTTACTGATTACTTGTTTGGTTCACATGATTCTGAAGAAATAAATGAGCACTAACACTGACAAATAAACGAAAATTAAACCTAAATTAGAAAAGGTATTTTTTTAAATTGAGTGCATAAACACTAGCCACTAAATCACAATCATATGATATTAAAACAAAATAACATAGTGACTTGGTCCTTTATTCAAACTAGAATTTAATATTCGATATTTCAAATGCAAACCCAAAACAACACTAAACTGTTTTTTGATTTGAAAGTTCTTCATGTTGCACTGTTCAAATTATTCCTATAGTACATCACCATGTTCGCGGAATTGAAAAAAAGCAAATTAAAACTCGAGTTGTTTTTGAACTAAATCGCTTTTGGTTTAAATTAACGAGGCTAAAACACTATGCTGTCTAATCAATTTTAATTAAAAAAATATGAACAGCCCTTCAATTTCCACCGCCAAATAAAATGGCAAGTGTCTAATTATTCAAACCAGTTTCAATTTAGCATATGCGTCCCTCAATAATTTAGGCTTAGGAAAATTGACGTTAAATTGATAAGCATTACGGACAGTTCACTCGCTAAATAAGTCAAATTAAAACATTGGTCAATTGATAGTCTTTATAATATTCTTTGCGTGACAATTATTTATTTTCATACCCCTTGCAGGTTTAAAATCATGCTCTCTAAACATTCTACGCAGTTTTGGAGATGTTTTGCAATCTAAGATATTAAGCCTGCAAAATACACACTTTAAAACACTTTGAGTAGATTTTTTTGTCCAACAAAAAACATCATTAATTGTCGTTGTTATTGGGAACCCACCTGTCATGGAACATAATACAACTTAAAAACTCTAAACAGTGAATAAAGAAAGATGCCTCTAATATGATGACATAAGATATGGAATACTTCCACGTGTCTCGTTCAAATATAATATACAGAAGCATGCTTTATAGCATAAGCCTAATATAATTGCGTTAAGAAAGATACTTTGAAAAGTTTCCATGTATTTTTGCTTGTCAAGTTGAAATAATTCAACAGTTTTATCACAAAGTGTAACTCGATTCTACAACAGATATGTACATTTTAGAGCAAAATTTTAATATTTATTCAAAAACTAGAGCATAAAATTAAATTAAATTACTGTGTCCATTAAACTGCATTAGTGTAAATATTATCTGTGTTTGGAAATTGGAATTCTGGACTCCTTGAGAGTATGAAATCAAGAGAACAGCATCATTTCTAAATATTGCTTCTTATGCAGACTGCAGAAAAACTGATTTGTGTTACTGTCTTCATTCAGACGACTCAAAACTTTTAATAATAATTAAGAGACATTCCTAATACTAATAGCTTATTTGCAGACTCCGAAATTTTCTGCAGCAGATTTTACAAACTATTTCGAATTTGAAAAATAATTAAACGATAGGCATAATCACAGCCGTTACATTTTTATGTTTAATGTCATTGTCGTGTTATTGCCACTAGGATGAATTACTAAGGGAAATAGTTCAACTATTTTTTTCTCATATAATGGCTGCGAATTAATTGCATTTTCTCCAATGCCTCAATTCAAAATCGCTTTTGGGCCGCGAAATGATCCTAAACATGTTTTCCACAGCGTTAGCAAAGCCTTCAGCTTTTTTTTTGAACTATAAAGTATGAAAGGTGCAGTTTAGATTAAGCAGTTTTCCAAATCCAAACTGATCCAACGGAAGACTGATCAAAGGTAAGAAAGCCATTTACTTTTAATTTTTATATATTTTAGTTATTTTGTGTTTGTAAAGCTTATGGATTTTCTGCTACAAATAAGCCTACGTTTAATTGTGCGGTTTTCATTTCACATTTCACACATTTGGTTCCATTCTGCCGTACAAACCCCCAGCATCAATAATTCTCCTAAGCAAATGTAATACTGTTTGGGTTGGGGTCTCGTGATACAGAACGTGCAGATAACATGAATATATGTCGTTGAAGAGGAAAACGTCTGTTTGTTTGGGTCATCATTTTCATAAACTTTATCTGCAACTATGATAGGTGTGTATAAAGCTTTGAACACAACAGCCAGTGGACATAAATTAAAAATGTCTGGGAATGTGGGAGTTATTTACCATCCTTTATAATAATACAGTTTTTACACAGACGTAATTTGCTCATAGTAGCAGGAACTTAGCTTTCAGTGTAAATTATGAGCTGCGATTTTCTGTTGCTTAGTATTAAAATAAATGAAGTCAATTAGAGGAAACATAATCAGGTATTGTAAAGACGAATTGATCTATTAAAAACKTATCACTTCAGTTAACATAAAAGTATTTGCATAGAAACAAAGGCAGCTTTTTGAGTTCTTTATATTTTATTTCGAAATCAGACAGTAAAGCCGACTAAACGTAGTGTGAATTTCTAATACTGAAGTTTTCAYGCTTCATTTGAAAAAGAATGAGCAGGCATGCTTCTTGCAACACGCACAATCGTTTCTATTATCCAATAAAGAACTGGAATATCACATAGGCAATAAACGCGTCATTTTCCTGGAAATGTATAGGCTAGGCTCTTTGATGTTTGATAACAAAAAATAATTTAAACAGTAATTTAAGTATTTATTGTTACAAGTTGTCAATTATTTAGTTACATGTCGCATTCGTCGAAGCTGGAAATGAGTATTGAAAATATAAATAGTATTCAATTGTGCTTGATGGGTAAATCGTATGCAAATGGCAAACAAAGCAACTTTTATTTATAGTAAGAAGCGATGAATATTCTATGAAGATATTTGAGGATGAAACTCAAGAAAGCCAACCATTAAACAAGAAAGTTTAAGAGCTCTATCAAAGTTTTAATGAAATTAATGTACTTCTAGTGGCAGACCCACATATTAAATGGTGAACGGTGTGGAATAATGCTGCTATAGAAAATTTGCTTTTTGATATAGTTTTTCGCTTTCCCGTAAACAAAAAGCAAAACTATTTGAAAAAATGAACTGAAAGTAACAGTTGAACTCACCGTTTAAAATGTGCACATAAGTGCTGGCTCCTTGGGCGTTGCTCGGAAAGCATGAGTAGTTCCCCGAATGCCTTGTGGCGGCATTGGTGATTGTCAAAGTACTACTCTTCTCACTTAGTTCTGTCGTAACGTTGATCCCCCGATCAACATCATAATTTATCATCCTATTGTTATGATACCTATAATAGATTTAGAACAAATCCCGTTAGTATTATGAACAGTTGAAGGGTCCTTTTTGATTTACCAAAACTAGTTTATTGCACTGATATTCAGGTTCATACATCACATTCTTTTAAGAAAATTGACTAAGCGTACTAAACAAAATATTGGAAATGAATTAATACCAACCAAAAAACATACGCTGGCGGTTCTGTACTCTGCAGAACGGTGCACTGCAGTCGGAGTCCACTGCCTGGTTTTAGGTATTTTTCAGAAGGGCCTTCGATGTCAGCTCGTGCCTCTAAAATGTGAATTATTTATATTACTTCTTCCAAAATGGTAGAATTATATACACAAAAATAACCAATTAATAACATTTTAAAACCCTAATTTTAATAAGAGTAACAAAGTATTTTTATGTATTGTATTCTTAAATTTGTTGTTCTTTTTCTGTCTCTTTTTAAAGGAAAATTTTAGTAAATCGATATCAGTCAAAATGTTTTTTTGCCAAAACAACAGCTAATCTAACAACCGTATTTTTACAAAAGACCTGTGAGCAATTATTCTCCGACAAATGTCTGTTGCAGTATTTTTGAAACCAGAATACATCCTTAGAGACGCACATACTTTAATGATATTTTTAACAACGGGGCGTTAAAGGGACTACTGAGACTGAATAAGTTAGTTCTGAATTTTAGAGTAATTTGCGAAATTATTTTGCCTCATTAGGTTGGCTGAAAGAAAAAACTATTACATGTACAAAAAGAGTATAATATTTTACCCAATTTACAAATGTACACAACAAACCGATAGCTAAGAGACCCGAAAAAAAAATTAAATATATTTTGACTAATAATAATAAAAATACGGTTCATATTAACATTTGGCACGTTTGCGATGTACCAAGCAGTACATTTTTTGGCTTTGCATGGGATTCAGAATGCCTCTGATAAAAAACTCATCTAATGGATCACGTAACTCATTAAATAAACCCACAAACTTCATCATCTATGTAACTCTACCAACAACAAAGTTATTTAATTTCATATCTATTCTGTGTCGTTAAAACCGTTTATGTCAAGGAAATTTTAATAAGCACCTTGCTTCTGTCTTAATATTAGACCTAGCAACTTTTTGGGGTATAAGTGAGAAAATCGTGCCGTCCCATTTCCAAATCAATAAATTATCAAATTAATTATTAAACATTTGAAAGTTACACCAAGTTTCACTTCGCTTACATGTGAGATATATGTATTATTTAACTTGTTCCATCCAACTAAGCTGAAATGAGTAGAGCTGTGTGCAATCGAAGCCACTTACAAATTTGATAGAAATAGGAATCGAGTTATACTCATTTTGAAAACCAGGTATTTTTTCCCATTCGGAACGGAAATATATTAGAATATATTAAACATGTTCACGGCTAAATTCACCTGTTTGAGCATATTTGCAAATTTCTTTGGCATTGTCTTTTGACCAACAGCTCTGTATTCATTTTTGTACGTGCAAAGTTCTTTGGCCGCACATTTATTAAACATATTTTTCGCACCCTTTTATTTAACATATTTGTTTGAAAGTAAAAATGATTTTGCAAAAGTGCGCTTGAAATCGACAGTTGTGATCGCAAGAGAAAGAGATTAAGGCAATTATTGTTGTTGCTTCTTTCATAGTTGTTGAAAACCAAAATGTAATTGCTAAGAATTTTACTTATTTTGTCGGTTTTATTAGAAGGAAAGGTAGTGACCTGGAAAAACTTAGTGATTCGTGACAGATGCTGATTTTGCAAGATCGACAGAGCGTTTCCCTTTTCAAAATAGATGTAACAAATATTTACATATTTATTATGGTATTTCATATGCAGAGTGTCTCCGTTCAGAGATCCGAAAAAGAAAATGGGAAACATACGACAAGATAAAGGAATATCTGATACTGGAATTTGAATATGTGCCGAATTTATTTCATTGGAATGGAAATGTACCATTTGGCTGACCGACATTGATGTTTGATATACAAATGAATGTACATCAAAAGGTTATCGTTCTTTGTTATTTCTTCGGGCATTTAAATACTATTCGAATTTTTCAACATTCAAATGTTTCACAGTAAGGTAGGCCCATATACTATTGGGATAAATTGTTTTCATATGTCACCCGAAAATTACGTATTGTCCGTAATACAATAATGATAAATAACATAGGCATAAAGAATGAAAATGCGGAGAGTGTTCCATTATGTATTTAATATTTGTTGAGAGAACTAAATTTATCCCTTAATCATAATTACGCAAAATACAAATTTCCATTGTCACGCAATATATTTAATTATGACACATAATTGTGCTCATGTTTATTAAGTGGGTGTCTAATCACTTAAAATATAATTGTACCGATATTGACAAGAGAATTAACTATTAGTCGATTGGTTTTTCAAACCATATGTAAGCCAAATAATTTCCATTACTGAAAGTGCTGAATTAAATAAATTCGGTACATTATAATTACTAATTAAGTAGTACGCTATAATTATTTATATTTTTAACATACATTAATCATCGAAATTAAATATCGTGTAGAGTGGCATAAGTCCAGACGAAATTTTTTGCAGTTCCATTTACTTGAGACTTTTTCAAACCAGCTTTCCGGTCAATATCAAAATACTTTTACCAGTTTTGGGATAACTTTAGAAACGTTAAATGTTCTTATAACAATTTAATATCTTCCCAGAAATTTTATTAGCTTGGTCCAGAAGATCTCTGTTTTTCTTAACTTTTAAGTTCTTTTCTAGCACTACGTTTTCTCAAGATTTTGCTTCCCTGTAAACGTAGCTCTCGCATCAATTGCGCCGTTCTTCGCCTCAGTACTTGTTTTTTTACTGAAAACAATGTTTTAAACTAATTATTTGCTCGTATCTAGCATAATTTTTTTGTTATCAAATTGAGAGGTCAGACTTACTATGAAATCTGAAAAAATACTTTCCTGGATTTAATGCAAAATTGGGACAAAACCGTGTTACCAGAAGGCAAAATAATTCCGCTTCAGCTTCGAACTAGCTTCATAATAAACACTAAACGGAAATACTTTGTCGAACTGTTTTTGAGTATGTAACGTATAATAATGGTAAATTTGATTTGCGAACGTTTCAAAATTCGTTAACACCAAAGTTATTACCGGCCGATTTGCAAATCCTTGCCCAAGTTTGACATATTGCGGTTTCGATTTTTAGATAAGAAAGGGATCAGGAAGTTTTACACGTCGTTTCGTTAATAACTAACTTGCAGCATAATGCTTGCTTAGCAGTTATTCAGATGTTTATGGGCAAGCTGTTCTAACAGGAAATTAAGGCAGAACCCATTTTTAAGGAATTTTTGCATTAATCATTTGCATAATTTAAGAAATCTGTAAATAATTTTTTATCAAGTTCTATCACCTTGATAACTAACTAAACATTTTATTTTTCTTTAAAAAGTTATTTTTCGGATATTACGCTACTTGGAAAAGTTAACTAACACCTGTAAAATATGACCCAGTTTATTTTACACTTTCCACTTGGCTGGTTATATACACTTTGCTCTAAATTCATTTTCTCAAACACGTTTTACTAGCAATGCTCAACCGAAATTGAAATGCAAATGACCTTTTATAAAAGGCAGGAAGAATTCAAGAAGGGTTTAAGATCTTGTTGAGAAAGCTTACTTTAATGAAAAGAATTCCTGTTTCCAAGCAATTTTTGTCGAATAATTGAAACGAATTCCTCTTTTTCAATTATCAGTGAACTCATTAGAGTCTAGCAATTTCGATACTATATCCTTTACCAAGCAATAATAAAAGCAAAATTGAATTCACTGAGAAAGTTTTGATAATGGTGGTATTGAGCACTGTTTTCAAAACTGATCTCCAAGGATTACTGTATCTGTTAATTAAATTACTCGCCGCAAACAGAACTAAAACTATTTGTTGATATTAAACATGAACATTTCTGAATCTCGAATAAAGGAAAGTGAAAATTAATTTAATCAGGTGAATCAAAATTACTTTACGATCGTCACCATGCCCACAGTAAAGTCGATCAATAATATTTGAATTTAGCTGATCTTATAGAAAAAATACTTGAACTGTTCTACGAAAACTTGGATAATGTTTTCGTACTGCTTATACTTATGTATATAATTATGCTAAATTCCGCATTTATTTATTTTCGCCTGTACGGTTTTTCGACTGAACACATTCTTGTTCTACTGAAGAAAGTATTGTAAAGCTTTCGGAAAATGAAGTTCACAAAAACCGAAAATCCGTTTTTATTTCATTTTGCCTAAAGGTAGTAAATGCTGAAACTGATTCTAATGAAAAACACGCCCACACAATCTGCTTTATTAGTAAAAGTTTTGCAATTTTGGTATATTTTTGAGTTTAAAACCATGTTTATTACTCATTTCATACTACTGTGGGTTTTTAACGATGTATTAATGTTATGATATTATAATATATATTATAATATTAATTTTAATACTAATGCATGTCAGATTCTCACAAAAAATCTACTGAAACTCTGATAGTGGCATTTTGATTTCATTATGCATTCAGAACAGTGGCAAGTGTTAATACAGTTACGTAATTAATATTAAAATGAAAAACATAAAATATGTATTTGATTTTCCATTTTTATGTAAGCATACTTTACGTATTTATATCTTGATTTATTCAACTTGACATTGGATTTATATAGAAAATTTACTGGAAAAAATAAAAGACCCTTGAGGCAGCCATATTTTATGTTGCTTGTTTGTCGGTTTACTGTCGAGGCTAATTTAAATCCAACATTTTTCTTCAATAAAAAACCATACCTAAAACTAAATAACTTACACGTTTAAAATACAAAAATGTAATACATTTTGTTATGAGTTGAAATGGTAAAAACAGGTGCACATCCATTCAATTCATGCCTAATTGCTCAATAAACTTCAGAAAGTACCGAACAGATAGTAAACCAGAGTTTAATGCAGAGAAATAGAACAATCGTTCCAAATTACAAATTAAAATTGAATTTGCGGAAGCGAAAACACAGGGAACTTTAAATTAATACGCGAATGAAAATGCACGATGCCGCTATAACGGAAAATGCATTAAGGAAACCGCAATATATTATAGTCTGAGAGAATGCAGGCTACTTTTCTCCAGTGGATCTCGAGCATTGTTTCTGAATCTATGGATATTTTTATCGCTTTGCATATATTCGTGAAAATATTAAATTTGCTAAAAGGATAGCGAGAAATGCATGGTAAAAAAATACTGATTTGAAATACTGCATTATACATTTAATACTATTTGTGAAAATAATATCTTTCTTTCATATAATTTAATATTAAATAAGTTAAGTGGAATGCAATATTTATTGAACTGAAATTTACTTAAAGTTGAGCGATTATCTTTGATTCCTTAAAAGTTAACCATATTTATTTAATGTATAGTCAGCATAAAATACACAATCACGACAAAAAAGAAAAATATTAAAAGCAAAACATATAAAATAAAAAATTATGCCAATATAAGCGCAAAACTACAAGCACTGGAGAAATATTAATTTCATCCAATATGAAAATATTTAAGATGTCTTATTTTAGATCCATTTTACTGAGTAAATATTAGCACGGATGGGTTTAAAAACTACGCTAAAAGAAAAAATGCGATCATAATATCAATTACCTTTAATATTATATCCAGACAAGCTGAACTAATAAAAAATAACTCAAGTGAGACCAACTGAATAACGAAGCAAAGTTGATACCAAAAGAAGTAAACAAAAATTTCAAAAAAGACCATCGAAAAATGTGTAGGTGACTAGTTGTAGAAAACAGAAATTGTATTAAGAGGGTTGGAATCAGAGCCGAAACATACTATATATAGTTAAATCAATCTAAATCTCTACAACAACAAAATTAATAATTAAGTTTTACAAAGATATAGCAAATAACAATAAAATATTAACAATTGAGTTGCACTGTGCAACTTACCTACTACGTTGAGTTGAACGAAAATACTTGTTGAGGGGTGTGACGAAACTTGACATTCGTACATACCAGCATCTCTTTGCTGCACGAATTTTATTTGCAAAGTCCAGTCCTGAAATGCAAGAAAGAACTACGATAAGGTAATTTATCTTTATCAAGGCTGGCAGTACATACGGTATACGTAATAGTTTAAATTGTAGGACTGAAAGGACTTGGAAATAAAACAGAATAGTCAAGGTTTTCACTGCCAAAAGCACATTTCTGGAAGTACTAAACATTGACATGTCAATAATTTTAAATTGGCCGGAAATTGATTAGAATGGTTTGTCAAATGCTGCAAATTAACAATTTACAATTGTTTTCAAATTATTTATTTTAAAGCAGAAACGTCACAACTCTAACATTTTAATTATTAATATATGTGATTTGACAACAGCTTGAGCCTCAAGCTGTTGTAGTTTTCCTTGACTTTTTTTGACTAACAGAAAATCACATTTCTTTTGTAAAATTGATCTGTGAATGTCGCTATTTACAAAAAGTCTCAAATATGTAAATGCGTACTAGATAGCAAGCAAGTGTTATGACTGTCATTGATCACTGAAACGATAGTGTTTTTAATATAATTTTTAGACTGCAAATATTTACTGACTTTTCACGCACACCAGAACTTATATTGGTGATACATTATTGATTGTCACATGCAAATTCTGCCTAATTCCACACAGATATTTAATTTTATGCAATAGACACACTTCAAATGTATTTTCAGTCGAATGTTCACCAATAAACACGAGCATATTAGGAGCGGTCGAGCCAGACTCCACACAAGAACATTAGCAATTATCTGAACGGCAAATTATTATTTTAGTTGCTATAATGGTTTTTGCTACTTTATTTTATTTCATAATTGTAATTTCACTAAAGTAAAAATATTCATTATTATTATGAATTTCACAGCACAGTAATTTGATTTTCACAACTTGATTGATTACGATATACATTTCAATATAAAAGAGGTTAATGTAACCAACTTTATATATCTTCTAAATAAAGTGCCGAGACATAGTGAAAAGTAATAAACGAAAGTTTTAATTTTGTTTATCTGATCCATGTACACCTGTGTATCTGCTTAGTATCTACCATCAATTAAGTAATTTCAGCTCATGATTATGATGATATTCTAGTTAATCGAGTTGCTCAAAAGACTACATAAAGTGTACAAAAACAAATATCTATCTATCTATAATATCTACTATACAATTAGTCTATATTTGCAAGGATTAGCAGGATATCATCAGGCTATATTAATCAGTCCCCTGAAAAATTTACATTTCATATTTACTATTGTTATTCGTGATTGCTGATAATTCCATAACTCTAATGGGAAATTCTTTAAGAGTCAGTCAATTTTCTAAAGTAACGTCGGAGAAAGTCATGAATAAAGACCCACAAACGGTGATTGCAATTTTGTTCATCAATTGACTCTCGTACAGCAGTTTGTTTTGAGATCGATCTTATGCAATTTTGGCAATGATTCAATAATGCAGTCACACAAATGATGTAATATATTAACCGCCTAACCATTTCATCAGAAACGGATTCCTTTAATATGAATTATGTATGTCTGGCAGAAACTTCCTGATTAATAATCCCCACCGTTATTAATTAGGTGAGCTATTCATTGCGAATAGCTTAATAAATGGCAGAGGCAAATTAATTTCCATGAAATTAGTATTTATCTTCACCCGAAGCAACTAAAATACACTGCGTTAAATTTCCTTTTGTTGGCTTAACAGTGGGAAAAACTGAATCTTTATACCTATCTCATATTGATGCACGTAAAATACGTCCAATAATTATTTTTTTGATTATGAACGCATAGAAAGGTATCAATTGCAAGCAAAATATTTAAAAACTAAACTATTTTTAAACAGGCAACGATACAAGGCCCATTGSTGTTTTAAGCAAACAAAAAACAAAATYTATTGCGTTTACACACTCTACCTCTCTAACATTCAATTRWCAATTGACTAATTAATGTTCGTGCATAAAATTTCACCTACCAACTAATCATGTTTAGTTTTGKTTTTTCTAAATATATTACAWTTCTGAGCTTAWCTTTTTCATTTAATTTARTATTTTCCATTTGCAAATAAGATACTTACAAAAACTATGCAAACTTAGAYACACATAGAGGGCWATACTGAACAAATGCATGAAAATCTCTTAATATTTAATATCAGATGATGGAAATAATATAGTTTTTTGGAAATCGTACCTATAGTCAAATTTTCTAGTAATTAACGGCTAATTTTATCCTTTACAGGCATAAGTAATGTTATTCGTTTAAAACGATTCATGACAGCACTCTAATCATAACACCATGATTATATCGCCTTACTAAAGTTTTAAATAAAACGGGTATATCCTGTCTAATGAATAATGCATATCCAGCGTCGTAGTGTCGAGTTCGATCTCGTCCTTATTAATGATCCTCTTGGCCATTAATTAGACCGGCCTTTCTCTTGAACCAGCATAAATCAGTCCGATCCGCCTTTATGCTTTCCTTCGTCGAGTGTGCGTGCTGGATTTTGAAACCAAAAGGAAGGGCAAGATAAAAAGGGCCTTTGACAGTTGAGGACACACGGAGATGACTAAATGCCTCCGAGCAACTCTTTTAAATTTGATACTGTGAGAGTGCCCGACTTTCTGGATACTGACACTCTGCACAAATTAAAAGTTTGGATTAAATATTTTATATTTATATAACTATCTATAAACTCAAGTTTTAAATTTAGTTGAGCGCGTCATTTCAACAAAGCAATACAGATTTTAGAAAATATATTTTATCTTTCCGGGTTGTTCATATTTTTAATACTGTTTATACCTTACACCATACATTCTTGTAAGGATTTGAACAGCTTGCGCTCTCGCCTGCAGGCAGGAGGACAAAAATAAATTAAAAACTGAAAAACCACAAAAAATGTAATAATTTTTCAGGTCCCATACTAATATCATGATTTAAATTACGACCAATGAATATTCTAGGACTTAAAATTTGTAGGAATAATCCATCCAAAAATTAATGGCATAATCAACGAGAGCGCTTTATAAAATTTAGACTAACAGTTTTTTGAGTCATAATTTGAACTTCAGTATTTTAAATGTTCTATAACAAACCCGGAAAAGGGAGGAATCTCGATTTGTGGGAAGGGAAGTGAAGCTCATTACAATAAATTCTGGAATATTTCCTTTCAGTAATACCGCTTGATTTATTATGTTCTTTCTCTACAATTATCATTAAAGAGTTCCTATTTTTGCAATCTTATGAAATAAAACAATGGAGTTGAGAATCAGTTAATGTTATTAGGCAAATCCGGTTTCTCGTGCATTAAGTGGAACTTTAAAAGATGGAAAATCTTGAATGTCGTCTAGGAAAAGCGACATGACAAAAATTATTTATTATGGGCTACAGAATATTTAAATCTTTCTTTTACGTTTTTTCAGTAATTTATAGACGAGCAGATAAGCAAAATTTGAACAATATCCGGGAACAAAATACAGCAACTTATAAAACTCAGCCTTAAATCAGAAAATATTGAACGGATAATCTGATTTATAGTGCTCCGCTCAGATTGGAGGAGCCATTTATTGGACACTTAATCTTAAAAGTTGCCTGAAGACTTTGAATTTTAAAGTTGTAATCCAAAATGCCTTTCGCATTAAACGGGTAAGTTGGTGTGATCTGCAACAGCGACAGTTTCCCACCACATAATATTTAAATCATTAATCTATGAATAAATCTAATTACTCACCGGTTTTCTTTTGTTTGATGCATAATGAGAACTGTGCATAACGAGAATTATTATCACCATTTTTTAAAGTTCGGCCAAAAAATGTCTTGCTAAATTACTAGTGCATATATTAGTCGCTTTGATTCAATCTAGCCGAAACGCTAGTTTAAATAATTTGTAGAAGCACTGATGTTTAAAGATCTGGATAGAAAAAAATGGAACGTGAAGTAAAAATAGATACTTTATATATCTAGTAAATATGTGAACTGCTATGCTATAGGTGAGTCACCTACTTTCAATTTAGAAACACACATACATAATTAATATTGTATTATTTAAAATAAGTTTTACTTTGTTGGGTACCCATACGTTGCTGCATGGCAAGTTATCTTCTAGTTGTAGCTCTTTACAAGTAGGACTTTCTACTGATTGTACATTTTTGCCTATATACTCATTTAATCAAATGTTCTGTTAACATCTTGATTGACGCAATATAACAGTTTGAATTTGTGTCGGAGATATAACCCTATTTCGTCAACATACTTGCTTCTATTTTTGAAAAAATTTGCTAAGCGAATTATATCTAAAACTCAATAAACTGGATGTAATGAACAACGATTGAAGTAAACGCTTTTCAGTATCGCATTTTCCTTCTGAAGCGTTCCAAATGATAAAATAAAAAGGACAATAATGAGAAACTCAATTTTGAAATCCATTTGTAGTCTTTCGAATCGAACAATTTACATTGATGAATGGAGACAAACGGCCATACATATGTGATAATAGTTTTCAATTTATCTGATGATGGGATTTTATTCAATCGAATGTATTGTACTCGACTGTACTGCCATCGACTGCAGTTTTGTATATGGTCTCGTCTGAATTCGAATTTTGCTGCTTTTAACATTTATTGCAAATTTAGTAATTACAGTCCAATGTGTCACTAAATTAATTGAATTTATTACTGTACTTGTTGATGAGCACAAGGCGTGTGGTATATCCTGAAAGCAATCGGATATCTGAATTTAAAAAATGGTGCAATTAATTTAGGTAAATCCAACATTTCCTAGTTTTCTTTGGCAAGTGTCTAATATTTGTGCAAATGCAGCTGATGTTTTTTTGCTACTACTTTTTTATACCATGTTAATTAATTAGGTAAATTTAATGCTGAACTTTAAATGAAAAATATGGAAAATGAAATGACTATCTCGGACTGCCTAAAACGTTGCTGAAGCTGCCCTTCTAAAAAAAATTGCTATTTTATTCATTCGCAATATGTTCCAAATTCTAACGAATAAAGCTAACTATGTCCCATAATGATCAAAATCAAAAACGTGATCACTTTTACGCAAATACTTATGGGCTTTGACTGTAGGATGACTTAAGACCTATTTACCTCTGAGTGCTGCAAGTGGATGGTTTGAAACCTGTCGTCGCTGCTGTAAGTCGTTAAGCCCACTGTAAGCAGCTGATAATAATCCTTCCTTCTGATCCATGAGACCTGAAAATACCACTGATTTAAAAATATAGGCAATTCTTTCCGCCGGATTGCGCTAAATCCCACGTAGATTTATGGCGCTCCGGCATGTTGAATTTATTTTAGGTATTAAGTCAACTAAATATATGGGATAATAAATTAAACGTTAAAATTTATATGTTAATGAGTTAGGTGAAAAATAGTGGCGTATTTAATATGAAGTAGGTAAATGCAGTTTCGTAGTGAACATGCATTGCCGTTTTTTTAAATCAAAACCATTGGCATAATTCTGTTAACTATACCTACGATCTTTTATCGGTTAGATTATTTCGTACTTGACTTTGCATTTACTGTATGTTTTATATAGCGTGTAAATAAATAAAGCCAAATTGAAGTTCGGCTATAAATTTAATTAAAATTCAAAGATCTTTCCTTCAGAAAAATACTCGGAGAAGCATTTTCTTGCTTTATGTGCCCATTTTTAGCACATATTTGATAAGAAGGTACAGGATGTTATGGCAATTTTGTAGCATTCAGTTTTTTTGATTCATTGATGAGTTAAGTACAGATTTTACTTAAACATTACGCAAGAGGATTAACATAATCAGGATTAACGAAAATAAAATTGACTGACTGTTCACAAATCGCAGTATCTTTTGATCATTTGATTAAGGGACACTCTGTATATTTATTATTATCAGCATTAATAATTTCCAGGTGCTAATTATTTTTTCATATGTATTTCGAAATTCGATCAGTTTATTCCTATTTTCCCTTATAATTAATAACTCCTAAAATTTATAGCACTTTTGTCGCTACTACGTTGGAAGGACTCTTCAACCGAAATAGTATTGTATGATAGTGAAAAGTAAAATAAATCTGTATTTATGATGGGATATAAATTCCATTAAAACCTAATAGAAACGCGACGGACGTGCCCAAGACCTGAATTATTATACTGTAATAAATTTTGTTTCGCGTTTCGAATCTTAGTTAATATTATTTATTGCAATGTTTAGTAATATTATAAAATCTGTCTTAAAGTTATGATGGTAATATTGGCGCTGACACCTTAATATTGATTTGCTAATAAGTTAATGCATTAAATCCAGATGGACGAAATTGTATTAACCGGTTCAATAGCGCAATAAAACTATTTAGTTTTTAAGTGTTAAGAGCATAATAACCAGCGGCAGTATTTTAATGTGGTAACTAATAAAGAAGGAACAAGCACATTTTCTGATTAATACTTATTAAGAGTTGTCTAATAAACGACTAATTTGACCATATCTGCACCATGCAGCAGAATGAACAATTTAATTTAGAATTCGTACATGATAATTTAGTATTCGCGCAATGGACAAAACAAATAGGGAATTCACATTCATTCAAACGTTTTTGAAAAAATATTCCAATCCCGATATTAGAATTACCCATGCATGATATTGTAAATGTATAATTTTGACGTTATTTTGAAATTTATCTTTATCTGTTACAAAGTAACGCATCAAAAGTAAAGCAACAGCAGTTACAAACGTTATAAACGTCGACAAAAAACAGAGAGGTTAATTAGAAAACCTAGAGGCAGCAGAAAAAACCTAGAGGTTAATTAGGAAACAAATTATAAGCACATCAATGAATTTCTTACCACTTCAAGGAAAAAACTACGTCAATAACAATTATATTTCAAATCCGGAATTTTGTTTTTAAATGGACTGATTTATTTTTCTTCAGCTTTTCACATATGAGTAAATTAAGCAGTTTCATATTTCATTCGAGGCAAAAATTCAGTTTAAAGTCCGTGGAGCTTTAACGAAAGGGAAGCGAGTACATAGTGCAAAAAACTTTAATTTACTTTTTAATCAAAATTGTTGTTTTGAAGTCATTCCAAACTTTCTAGGCTTCTTTCTTCGCTCGGGAAATGGAATACCAAAGAAAAACATTGTTCGGCAATTAAACTACAGCTTTAATTGCTGGCAAAGCAATGCAGTTTAAGGGCAAGCAAAACCGGCATTTTAGAATTGAAAATTTAAATATTTAAATACAGCACGAGAAATTGCATCTAAATTGATTTGCAAAAGCGTTCCATTTATGACTTTTGGGTAACCAAATTGACATTTCAATTTAAAATTCAAATACCGAAATGGCACGAATCTTAGTGAGCATTCAATCTGTTACAGTGTAAAATTTCCTCCCGGTAATGACAATTTTTAAATAAATTTGAGAATATTTCGTTTTTGTCTTTCACTACAAACCATAGTAGTAGTTTAGCATGCTTTGGTTAAATGTAACGTAATGTAATCAGGCATAATGCTTACGAGTTTCTATTCAAACAGATAAAACAATACATTCTGCGAATCAGTTTTCACTGACTTGAACTTGCACCGGTTAAATATAATTTCAGTTCAATCATCAATGTCCTTTCTTAATGGCTTGATCACTCCGGACCCAATTGTTTGAGCTGGATTACGCTAATACGCTAAAAGCCTTAAACTTTAAAGGGTTAATCCGATTTTTTCCTTAACTCTGTGAGCTTCGCAGTCTTTAGCTTAATAGCAAATGAGGTTTGAGAGTAACTACATACGCTTATACTTAACTTAATGAGTGACAAAGTAAAATCGGTAAATACACTAACTGGACTTAATAATACGTTAAAACGTAAAAGCTACATTGTAGAGGATGTCAGGAATTAGGCTTGCTCTTGTAGATTCTATTAACTCAAACGGGTTCTTTTGGCAACCAGCAAACAGCCCAATTACAATTTTATGAAAACCCACAGAGACCCACAAATATGGGAAAACGGAGTTTTTATAACTGGTTAGCTCTGAAAGTACGATATCACTTTAATCGAAGGTTGAATAGATTTAAATTTAAAATATGCGGAGCACTCAACGTTTTGTCTAGTTAAAAGTACTAAATGATAAAACTACATTTTAATAAGAAAGCTCAACTGTTTGAGTTATAACTTTCCAAGAAAATATTAAGAAGAAACAGTTCGTAACTGAACATGTGATGAAATAAATTATATGTTGCACACCATAGAAGTTGAAGTTGCTATTGTGCAAGAGCAAATCGATTATTGAAAGTTAATTAAAGATTAGTACTTCGTAAATATTTTATATTTAAAACACGACAACGATGAAATAAAAGGTCATATTGAAGCTGCATTCTTACATCTCGGAAAGAACATTGACTGATAAACGTGTTTTAAAATATTTCTCATAAAATAAATTAAGTTTTAAACTCCATACACAATGACATTTGTACTGGGGATCAAATGAAGTGAGGATGCTCTGCTATTGGCTTTTACTGTACCAACATCATTTCGCTCTTATGACTGATTATAAATCTGAATCAGAGCTGTCGATGCTCCAAAGAAAACATTTTATAGGTCAATTTACATGCGGACACGTACAAAATTTATGATTTCAGCTGTTTCTGTTTTGGCAGTGCTGAAATTTTGCGCCATTGTCTGCTGCGCTGCGAAAGGAAAGTAACATTTTGAAATGAGTATATTTTGTACCTATAGGTGCTATAGTCTTTACAATACCAAAGGATAGGAAATGAATAACACCTTGTGAAATTTATCGGGAATATTACATATCTGGAACCAATTAATTCAAACAATTATAAAAATATATTAAGAACAAAGATCATGGATTTTAAAAAGAAAAGAAACATTTCAAACATCTTATTCCAGAAATCCAAAGCGTGGACCGTTGCAAGAAAACAGGACTATCACTTGGTCGATATTTTTAGTACCTATTCTTGAAGGTAAAAGATAATTGTTTTAGAATATATCAATGGATATGTGTGTTGAAACTTATTAAACAAAATTTGTGATAAATTTCCAACCCTTGTCGCAATTCTCTCTTTCTTCTCTTTTAAAATCAGCACAGGTGTAATACCCAAAAGTAATTTCTAGTGTCCTCTAATATATTCCACAGGGCTTAAACAGATCAGTGCCCCTGAAGAGATATGCAAACGACAATGGGCACATTTGCCTTGAACCATATTATTAAGTCATTTACATTCGCTGCCAGCATCACCATCTTTTGATAATAAAGTTTAACGTTCTTCCCGTACCTGAATATCAGGCATGATTCGGAGTAAAAATTGGGGAAAAAAATTGTTCTCTGAGTTTTGTAAACGGATTCCATTTTATTTCTCAAGGAAGAGTAAAAGAAAAATGTGTTGGTAACTGTGGAGAATTTCAGGTCTCTATATTGAAAATGAAGCAAATTGCTTTCAGCGATAATCCAAAACAGTGCATATTTGTTATATTCACTGCGGTTTTAGATGAGAAATTTTCCCATGTGTAAAATTTCTAATTAGTTTTACCGGTACACCTACTTCGGGTACAACAGTATTATTGTCAACAGTTTATATTTTTAAAGCATCAGACCTCCCAGATTTAGTTCAAACTATCTCATTTGTTCTGAATGAAAAAAGTGGATTTTGTTCCGAATTTTTGAAAAATAGTCAACGGAACACCGGAGATCTTTACTTTTATCATTCACATGTTAAGCGATCTTCACATGTGGCAAAATGATATTCATTTAGAGCAACAGTTCAGCATTTTTTGACATTTGCTTTACTTAATTGAATAAAGAGTTATGCGTATATGAAGTGCTTTCTTACATAACATTAGAAATAAGGTACAATTGTAATACAAATTTTGTGAGAATTAAAAAGCTCTATAAAATTGGGTCAAAAATCAACTTGCCGAGTATATGCAAAAATAATTCATCATTCGTCATTATAAAAATTCATACAACTACTTTTAGAAAGCTAACTTGTCTGACGTTCGTATTTTGCGGACTCGACAAATGTTGCTTACATTTTTGCAGAGAAAAAAACAGTTTCATTGAATTCCTATCCGAATATTGCCTTCTAAAAAATACGAGAAACGTTTTACTCGGATTTTATTTTTGGTTACAGATTGCAGCATCATCAAAATATATCTTCAAAAACGTTTGATTCGTACCCGCTAAACGGATTAATGCAATCAAAAAGTCCAGAAATTAGCTGATTTTAGTAGATAGGAAATAAACCATTTTCAAATGACCAATTTCAGTCCGACATTTGCTATTACAATGTTAATTATTACGAGTATGTGCACTGCAATTCGTTTTTCGGTCATTTCTAATCACAACTAAAAATCAATACGTTATTTTAAAGGGATAAAATTGCTCCCAAACAGAAATAGATTGGTATTAAATGCTATACGAATAATGCACTTTATGGAAGAACCTAGTATTTTTCTTACCCGTCTAATCAACCACAAGAAATCGATAGTTTTTTTTCAAAGACATAATGTGTTAACAATTAAACGGTTAATAAATAGGTACCTTACATCTCATAAACGAAGTAAGCATATATCCGTTGTTTTTCATTATGTTGCACATTACTAGAAGAAATGATCGCCTGTATTCAACAAAGCATTATATTCCGAAAATTGAGCATTTGCATTTAGCCTACAAGAAATTGCCTCCGAACAATGGAGCTAGTTTAATCCTAACGACGACATTAGTAAGCCAGCAAAGAGCGCTGGGCATATCTGACGCCGGAATTGTCGTTTAAGAACAAAACAGGAGTACAAAATATAACGTTTGATTCTCGAGAACCGACAATGTTTGCTTTGCTGAAAATATGTGCACCGAGCATGATAATAGCAGAAGAATATAAATGCCACCTTAGTGCTTTATGAGAAATATTCCTGAATGAAATGTAGCCTTTGTAGGTAATAGAGCAGATACAAAACCTGTCAGTGCAAACATACGCTAATACTTCTAGAAGAGTTTGTCAGAAGTTCAAGACAAGAAAATCGTCTTTCAGTTAAGTTAAGTAGGCAAATAAAAATAATTAAAACTAACTCTTCCCGGAGTCGGGATTTCCATTTCTACACACGCGAGTTTTTGGGGAAACCCCGCAAAAAAATATCTACGTGACAAGTCTGGTGATCCAGCTGGCCGACGTATTGGACCACCTCGTTATGTTCACATATCAGAAAAGATTTATATGTATAAAATATGAGTTTTTTCACAATGTTGCATTTATTACTTAAATGTTATGAATATTACCACGAAATGCGGCAAAAGATTTTGATACCAGAAAACGTTAATGTCGTTTATACTTACGGTTCCATCTCCTATATTGTTGATGACACACGGAAGTAGCGCAGTTGACCCCGTTTGTGCTGTCACGACCGTGTTATTTTCTGTGGCAAAGTGAACTGGAGGACTCTCCAAGGGCGGAAACGAGGCCCCAAGCTCGTTCTGAATGTCCCCGCCGTCTGCCAGATCCAGGTCGGAATCTAAAACAAAAATAATTGGAATGATGAATTTCCAAGCGAACCGACAAACCAAAATATGAGTTCACATTTTAAACAGCAACAGTTTTCTTTAATAATTAATAAGGTGTTGAATCAGTTTGAGTTGTGAAAAAATTCCTAAAACGTGTTCAGTATTTCAAATATATACCGCCAGAAGAAAATTGTGCTCCAACCAGAAAAAAGAAAATAACCAGTTGGTTGAATACAACCTGTGTGTTAGTCGAACAAATACACTATATGACATGACAATAGAAAGATAAATGTGTTGCTAATCCCTTCTGTCCCTCAAGTAAGTGCAAATTCGAAACATCCCATTGCTAATACCTAATCAAATTAAAAAAATGGGAAAAAATGCATACATGGATGAAAAGCCTGGCTATGCCTGATGCAGTAGTTCTTTTGTTATGCTGGTTACCTCTAAGTTCAGAGCTATTCATGTATTCCAATCCACCTATGCAACCGTTTTTTTTAATCTCCCAAGGTATCACTTTCTTCCCCACACAGTGGATCTTTCCGAACTTGCTTATATGTACTGGCTTAAACTTTTCACGCTGTTCCATTCACATATTCAGTATGGCAAGAACTTAATTTTATACGTTCATACGACCACGTAAATTGTACATGATATCTCAATAATTTTCCTCATTTCCTTTCGAACCTTCTCGTTTTTGGACATAATTTTCTAATGAATCCATGAAATACATTATGGCACAGTTTACCAAAACTTGCATATACTTCAGAAGGGTATCAGTTAATCCGTCTTAATGCTGAGTTCTCCATACGTTTGTGTTAAACATATTAATTTAAAATTATATTAAAACTTGCTCAAAATCCTGACCAATGAAACCATTGCACAAGAGTAGTCTCAATTTCCATCAAGCCTAATTTGGTTGAGTACCTAAAAGAATTATTTTAACTGAAAACGTTTGCAAAGAACACGAAAACAGAGTCAAACGCATCTGGCTTGGAATATCCTTGAAAGGATTCAGTCATTGTGAGAGGAGTAATTGAATCGAATTTCGAGTTTTCTATTCAATAGTGATTGCTTTTATAACGAAACTACTCTATTTTATTCTATGCAGTCTTCCCATGAATTATCCAAATTTTTCTCGACATTATGAAAGCCAAATTTATCCGGCTTCTATATAGACATTTATTGATCATGAATATTAAATATCAAATCATTTAAGTAAACAACATTTTTCAAATAGTATTTATATAGTTTTAAAGCCTTTTAGAACTTATGAAAGTAAGCAGATACATAAATATATTTAAAAATTTTCATCCACAGACCGCAAATGCATTTCGTTTGTTATATCTGATGGAAACGGGATATCCATTCTTCTCCAAATATTCCCGATATGGGGAATTATTCCACACTTCCAAAACAGTATTCTCATGTTTTAAAAGAAAAACGTAATAAATTACTTTTACGGTGTAATAAAAGCCAGTCTGATTCATAGAGAACATAAAGCTTGCAAAACGGAACGATGCCCCGCTGTTTATTCCAGTTTTCAACCAAAAATTATTGCCGAATTTTCTATTTGCATCCAGCGGGTATTTCCCAGTACCTAATTAAGCTTCTCTAGTAGGAAAATGTTGTATATTAGCCATCGACATAGCTCTTTTTGTTTTTAATTGGCTATATTACGGACCAATAATCACTCGAATTCTTCAGATATTTTCTGTAAGGGGTGAAGGTTAAATAAGTAATTAGCTCGTTTACTTTACACCTGCAGGAAGGCAGACAATCATTTTTTGAAGGAAAAGTTTAAATAAAGGTGTGTAAAAACAGACATGAACAAAATAAGTTGGCTTAAAATATATTTTAGTTATATTAATTATTTTTTTATTCGTATCTTTTTAGTAGCCGGCGGATACAATTTGTAGGTGTATTCACTGCCGCAGTTTTGTTCCGAATATACCACTCAAAATATATAAAACTTGTATCCGCATCAGTTCCAGACTATGCAATTTCAAACAAAGAATATTTTATACGTTATATCAAAAGAGTTCATTTCAGTTTCAATATTTAAAACACATTTCATTCATTGTCAAATATTAATTGACTCCTTTGTCGTATGCAGTATGAAAAATACGCAAATCATTGTACATTATAGTAAAATGCCTTCGTTTGTTTTTTGGTCGTTTCCATTAGTAAAACCATTATTTCGAGGAAATCATGATGTTGAGCGGAAATTAAATTTCTGTAAGAGTGATGAATTCCTTTCAAAATTGCTGGTTTTTAGAATGCCCGCAGTTCCTATATTAACTATTTTTAACAGTATTAAGCAAAAACGTTCGATATTAGATTCACCTTCAAAAAATGCGTAGTATTTTAAAGATGTCCCTGTAGCTGCAGAGATTCAGCTTTTCGTGTTTTATGGACAAAATATTACTGTCAAAACTAGGCAGGCTATAGTTAGAGCCATACATTTTTCAAAATGTTTTTGTTTCGGCAAACAAAAGCTTTAAAGTATTGTCAACCAAATTGGCAGTGCTTCGTCATTAAACGAAAAACAGCGAAATGTAATTTTATAGTTCACTTCTAATTAATTATATTAATGTTTGTTAATAATAATAATAACTCAACATATTTTTGTACCTATAGAGCCAATACAGCAATGCAATTAATATTGATCAACAAAACATGTTAAATGCAAGTAAGCTAACACAATGTAAATTTATTAATGATTTGTTAATTAATCACATGGGTATGCTGACAATCGCAAAAATATTCCAATGCAATCGCAGTGACTGCTATTAATCAGAGAAATTCCGAGTTGTGTTTGGTGGAAAAAGTTTGTAGCAGAATGAAATATGTTTTTAAGTTTCAATAAAACACGATTTCGACACGTAGATTTACCAATTGATTGCCGATGTGTCGGTTTTGCGCATTACAAAACAGGATGTTAAACTTTATTAGGGGTGAAAGGAAAAATATAAATTTCTAGTGAAGAAGTCAATAGAAATGTGATATGGTTAATTAGGTTCTTTAAGGTAAAAATATGAGTCATCATTGTGTTGGAAAACTTTATTTGCTGTCGATTTTTTGATTTGTTTGACAAACAGCCACCAAAAAAATAATGAATGAATTTGTTGTCTCTGTAAAGATATTCAGATTTAACAGAACGAATAAAATATGACTTAAATAAACTGGTAGGAAAAATTGACGATAAATATGTAAATTGCGAAAATATTTGGTGTTCCATTTGAAATATGCAAGATATGAAGGTTTAAAAACATGCAATTTTGTAGGATTATTGGGCGATTTCCGAAGAACTTTATATAAATTAAAATATGTCAGCACATAGTTTATTCGGTTGGGATCTCCAAAGACGTTTTTTTTGTTGTCGATGAGAATTGGAGAATTTTCAGTGGGTAGGGTGCAGCATCGAGTTCTACTTTTCAGCGAAAACATCTAAAATAACCTAATGTTAAAATTTGACGGTAAATCCGCAAATGGTAGATAAAAAGGGAGTTTTATTTTTTTAATTATAGATCGTTACGACACACTTACGGCGCATCCGAATATTGTAAAATTATTTTAGTATGCGTTCCCATTAAGCATAAAAAATTTTTGTGGGAAACATTTATTGCCGAAGTTCAGATTTGCTGACCAATCGCACTTTGACGCACTAAAGAACGTCCTGTATATTACAGTAGCTGTGTAGAAGTCTCACATCCGCAGCTGAAATATTGACACAAACTGCCTCTTATATCCAACACCAAGCATTAATTTAAATAGAATCTTCGAACGAACGATCAAAATTTGCCTCTGCCTCGCTCTAAGATCTGAACATTCATCGCAAAGCTTGAAATCGGGTTATCAAATTGATAAAACGTTCCAAAATTTTACCCAAAACACGTATGCCAATAAAGACTACATATGTTTAAAAATGAACAACATTGTACACATTTGAAACAAAATCGTGGCTTGCCCTAAAACTTTTTTTGCTTAACACGTTTTGTTTCAAAGTAACTGAATTGGAATAAACATTTTAATTCATTCTTTTAAACGGAAACAATATTTTGCGCAACAATGATTACGTTGAAACCACAAGAGCGACACACATTTTGCATTTGATGCAAACCAGCTTTTCGGATAAATGAGTAACAAAATGCCAAATATGTTCCATTATTTTATCTATATAATGTAACAATGTAAAATTTTGTTCGGGGAAAAATGTCTTAATTACATAGTCAAATGCTTTTTAATATTATATCTTTGATATTATTTTTTCAATAACTTTAAAGAACTTAAATTCTATTAAAATTTTCGAAGAAATTATTCGCAATTTTGCCTCAACTGTCGTAAGGTTTATATCGTAAAAAGTCAAGAAACATACAATTACTACTATCACCATTATCTGCTATAACCAAGTTCTGATTTACAATTTAAGATGGACTGATTTATGACGCTCAGAAGGTTAGGCCGGAAATTCATTGTTTATGTATCGCTTCAATTAAATATGAAAGAAACAAAGATACTTTTGTACATTCAGAGCTCTCTGTCAGCTAACTTTCAAGACTTTGCTCGCTTTTCTTTGGTTATACATCTCTTTAGAAGCGTCTTACCTTTAAGCATTATCGTCTGCGTCGTAATTTCCATAATTTAACTTGGCGAAGAATGGTTGTGAATAAATAACATGCCTCGTCCTGACGCCCTGCTTAAATATTAACTTTAGGCTTTTAAGAAATTATATTTCGGGCATTGTGCGGCTTTAAAAGAAAGATATATCGTCGGGAGCAGAGAAAATCAAAGGAGTTTAGAATTATATTTAATTCATTACCCGACTGATACAAAGATAAAACCTGTTCAAATTCTGGGAAAACATTTTACGGGTTACATAAACGCTGTTTAATGTATAAATTAGAGGTGATTTGGCCTGAAAAGTTAACTAGAAATTACAAAATAAAAGAAACAACCGGTTAGTATCTCAGAGAAACAACACACACTTTATTTTAACAGCAACACCTTT